ATCCTGGGACAGGTCACAACCACCCCTCAACCGAAGGGGTGGAGCAACATGGGAAGCCAAGAGATGGCCCAAGGGGAACCGACACTCGCAGACACAAGCACCGATCTCGGACTGCCAGCAGCAGAACCCCTCTCAACAGGCCCTGGACAAGCCCAAATATAAACCATCCACAGAACAGAACCAGAAAGCTACATCTGAATCAGCAGAGATCATGAGACTTTTAAAGGAACTCCTCCAAGAAAAGCACCATAAGGGAAAGAAAAGGGATGAGTCAGATCAGCTATGACTAAGCATTAGCTCTGACCCCAACACCCACTCAGAGTCCCCTCAAAATGAACTGCCCAACCAGATCACTGCTAATCCACTGTTAACCACAGAACCAGATATCTCATCACCAAGTGGTGACATCACTCAACCACCTCAGCTGACTGTGGAACCACCAGAACCAGCCAACATCCCGCAACACACCTCCAGCCAGGACCGCAAAGTACCAGAAAGCGCGGTTTTGGTGGTCTGCCTCCCTGACGAGCCACACAAGACCAGCTCTGACTGCTTGCCAGTCATCACACAAGCCCCAGTGCCGAGACTCCTAGGGGACCTAATCGAAAGGGGGGTGGCCAAAAAACTCTACCTGGCCATCACATTAGAAAATGAGTTGAGGCTGGAGGCCCTATTGGACACTGGAGCTGACCTCACGTTAATGTCAAGCCAACTTTTTGACAGACTTCAAAGTGAAGCCAAGAGACAGAATCGAACTCTTAAGTACCAGAAATGCGTGCTGAATGTGCAATCGTGCAATCCTAATGAGGTCCAACTTGAACAGGTAGCTCCAATTCACCTGACCATCGGCCCTATGAACTTTGTGCACCCTGGCACCCTGTCTCCATTTGACACATATCCTCTCCTCATTGGCAAAGACCTGCTAGATCGCTTTGAACCATTGCTAGATTTTAAACAACTGAAAATCTGGGCTCAAGTGCCAGAACCTCTGCCTCCTCAGTCACCAGGACCACCCCAGACAGACTGTCAGGTCACAAAGGTCGCGGGAAATCTCACCGCCAGCCGCGGGAACGTCTCGTCCCAAGAGCAAAGTTCAAGGACGCTGCTCTGTACTTTCCAGTTAGCCAAAGACTCATACGGACCCCACGTTAAGGGGGGCTTACAACTGAATGATGTCACAACAACAGACCCCATACTAGCACTGTGGGCAGACAATTCAGCCATCAGCCTCTCACAGTTCAATGCTCTCAAACAGCACACAACGAACATTCCTTTTGCTAACAAGCGCACACGATTCCCCTTGAATCCCTGTCCATCAGCTATGGTGACTGCCAAGGGCACCTGTGCCTTGAACTTGAGGTGGAATGACAGGTGTCTAACCCATTACTTCCTGGTCCTTACAGACGCACCGCATGATGTCTACATCGGAGCGGACATTCTGATTCGCCTCAGAGCTCACGTGGACATGATCAATGAAGTGATATGGGCCCCAATGACCTCACAGTCACCCACAGTTCCTGTCAACCATGAGAACCTCCTGTCAGGCCAAACCATCCCTGAGGCCTGCACGCTAATCAATGAAAAAGAGACTGTAGTACCAGCTTACACCAAAGGGGTCGCTGTTCGACTCAACCTGCGAAGCGGCCAAACTCTCAGTCACACCCTAGGCTTCTTCCAACCTTCACCCGAATGTGGGGAACTGGGCCTCACTTTGGAAGCCACACCCCTCGTCGAAGTGACATCTCGGGCAACCTACATCTTGTTCAATAACTGCATGGCAACGGATGTCAGAGTGCCTAAGGCGTACCGTCTGGGTTGGCTAGTGAGCTATGACTTTCATGACTTTGAACTAATTCTACCAATTATTGGACCCATCTCAGATCCAATGATTCCAGAAGAAAGCTCAGGCCACACAGTGTTAACAGCACCCTTCAAGATCATCACCATAACCTCAGTCATGCCAGTAGTCAAGGAGCAGGTGTGTAGAACAGAACTAACAGAAGACCAACACTTTGCCGTGTACACGGTCTCTAACAACTCCACCTGCATAAATGACAGCTCGTCTGCACCTATGACCGCCCACAGCACAGAGGAATTAACGACAGCAGAGCCATACCCAGGTTTTGAGACACAAGTCCAGCAAATTCTGAAAGATGCTGATGCCATACAGGAGGATGCAGACCGCCACAAACTCCGTCAAGTCCTTTACAAATACAAGGAATCATTTGCCAAGGACTCTTTAGATTGTGGCCTCACTAACCTCCATGTTGTGCGTGTCCCAACGCACCCAAAAGCTCCACCCACTTTTGTCAAGCAATACAAGATCCCCCTTGAATCGTACGAACCCGTACAGGAGATCATCAACTCTATGCTTGAGAAGGGTGTCATTCGTCCGTGTAACAGCACCTACTCTGCCCCCATCTGGCCTGTCATCAAATCAAACGGCAAGTGGCGGCCGACCATCGACTATAGGAAACTGAATCAACAGGTGCCATTGTCGCGATGGCCGATGACCCAGCTGGAACAGGAGATACCAAGAATCAGAGGAGCCACAATCTTCTCCACTCTTGATGTGGCCTCAGGATTTTGGACTATACCAGTGCATCCAGATGACCAACACAAGCTGGCTTTCACCTTTAGCAATCGGCAGTACACCTTCACCAGGTGCCCATTCGGCTATGCCAACTCACCAGCCGAATTTAACATCTTCCTCAACAAAGCATGCCCGGATGCCAGGGTAAGAGGGAACTTAATCTATGTTGACGACCTTCTGATGAAACACACGACAGTGACCGATCACCTGAAAGAAATTGACCACGTCCTGCACCAACTGACCACCGCCGGTGCCAAGATTGCCCTCCACAAAGGACAATGGTGCAAAACCAAGGTCAATTACGTGGGCATACTCATCGGACCACGAGGTATTGAGCCACAAACCAGCCGAATCCAGGCCATTCAGAACATTAAACCACCTGCCAATGTCTCGGAACTCCGAAGCTTTCTAGGCGTGTGCAACTATTCAAGGCAGTTCATTGAGAACTATTCAGACATTGCACGCCCTCTCACTGCCCTTCTAAAAAAGGACTGCCCCTTCGCCTGGACAGACGAACAGCAAAATGCCATGAATGAGCTGAAACAACATCTGTGCATTGCTCCATGTCTGGCTTACCCAGATCCACAGAAGGAGTTCTACTTGGACGCTGGATTCTCCAGCCACTGCCTCAGCGCTGGTATATACCAACGGCATGACCAGGACAAAAGGGTGGTCGCATATGCCAGCAAGACTCTTCTTCCCCCAGAGTGCAAATACTCAGACTGTGACTACAGCTACGCACAGCCTCCTCAGATAACCTCTCATCGGCTATCAAAGAAGTTTCTGCCACACTGGACAGGACCGCATGAGATTGTGGACAAACTCTCCCCTGTCGCATATCGGATCAAGCTGAGTCGGGGACAGAAAGAACCAGTTTTCAAATGGGTCCATCGTAACCAGATCAAGAGACATGTGGCTGCTGGCAGGGAAGGGCAGGGGGAGGCTAGTGCTAACTAGGCCTTGCTATAGTCCTCAAACAAAGACTGTCTTGAACACACAAGAACTTCCCTCACTGATCCACTGCCTTTCTCCCTTTTTCTTTGAACCAGGATGCCCAACTGCTATAGTCATCAAACAAAGACTGTCTTGAACACACAAGAACTTCCCTCACTGATCCACTGCCTTTCTCCCTTTTTCTTTGAACCAGGATGCTGCTGTGGCTCCCCATCCTCTGCCTCCAGCTAAACAGAGGACAGCCGGAACCCGATATCACATCACCAGGTCCAGCATCAGGCATTGCACTGAGGGACCAACCTGGACTTCTTATGACCAACTGTAGGACTCACAACCAGAAGGTGTACGTCCGACTCGACCCCCGAAATGTCTACCGGACACATTATCCCCGGGCAGCTGCACACTACAGTTGGGCAGGTGCCCAATGGACTGAGAATACCCTCGCTCACGCAGAAGCTGATATCAAACACATGCTCTCTCAGTTGCAGAAAATGACTCTCACTCAAGCAGAGCTAAGCGGACATAACAGGCGTGACAAACGATTCCTAGGGGCCTTGCTCGGAGCTGCTGCTGCTGTTGGAACCCTGTTCAACCTGGGAGTGACCAGTGTCAACTCCGTAAGCCTATCTTCCCTGAGGAAACATGTAAGGGAGATCCAGACTGAGATGCCCCAGCTGAGAGAACAACTCACACTACAGGGCCAAACCCTACAGACTATAGGCAAATCATTGAAGGGCACCCTGGTGGTTCTGAACACCCACAGTGTCCTGCTGAACCAAACTGTGAAATCCGTGAAACAGTTATTCTCAGTTATACAGAATGATGTTGCCCAAACTCAGCTGGTCACCGCACTGATGTCTGACATGCTCCGTGAGGTGAGCTCCTCCATCGACAGCCTAGCCATGGGTAGAATTCCTCCGTATCTGGTGCCCCTGAGCCTAGTACAAACAGTGTTATCCTCTGTAACTACCCGTCCAGCTGACCCTCTTCTAGCCCACCTTGCCTACTCCCTAGGAGGGTCCATCCTGCTACATGTCAACCCCGAGCAGAGCGAGATGGCGTTTCTTCTGAATCTACCATAATTGAATCCGACAACATTTACAGACTCAAAGACATTGTCAATGTTGGATTTTGGCAGGGAAACACTCACATCAGAATACACACACCAGATATGGTAGCCTACCACGACAATAACCCACAGTTATACCTGGCCCCAAACCTGCGCATGTGTACCCTGACCAAAGACATTCATTATCTCTGCCCCAGCAAGCCCTTCCTTCGAGACAACAGTGAAGGAATCTGCAGGTTACAACCCATGCAAAGAGAAACACTCTGCCCCGTTGAGGCCAAGCCTCGCACACAAGTCACAGAAAAGTAAGCAGAGATTGTGGCAAATCAGTGGCTCGTCAACACGCCCATCCATACTGCCACACTGACTTATGACCAGCACGGCACTGCCACCCGTGTCAGCCTGCCCAACCAGAGTATGTGGATTCAAGTGCCCAAAGGTGCCATCCTCCACCTCGGTGACCTGGCGCTGTACCACCTTCCAAGTGAAGAGTACCAATCCAAGGTAGAAATGCCAGCCTTCTTCAGGGACCACAATCTCACCCTGGAACCTGAATTGGAACTGAGCATTGAGAAAGGGGGGTCCCAGATGATTGACATCACCCCAATCGACACAGCCCTCCAAGCACTGTCCCGGATGCCTGTCCAGAACACCTTTCCCGTCGCTCGATCCTGGACCTCTGCCGACACGGCACTTTGCCTTGCCACAGCAATCGGGTACACCCTAACACTCGGTCTTGCTTTTGTCCTGTTTAACAGAGTCAACGGGGTGCAAAGGTCCATGAACAGGTGCACAGCTGCCCTTCCTCAAACCTTCAAACAGAGCCACCGGAAGAGAGGGACCCAGGCAGAGACAATGCTGAACCTGACCAAGGTTAACACCCCCGCTGAGGATCCGAAGGCTGAGGAAAATTAGGATCCACCTGCCATCTGACAACCCTGATCCACCTGCCATTTGACAATCCTGATCCACCTGCCATCTGACAATCCTGATCCACCTGCCACCTGACAATCCTGATCCACCTGCCATCTGACAATCCTGATCCACCTGCCACCTGACAATCCTGATCCACCTGCCATCTGACAATCCTGATCCACCTGCCATCTGACAATCCTGATCCACCTGCCATCTGTCAATCCTGATCCACCTGCCATCTAGCTATTATGGCCCACCTGCTACCCGATCATCAAATCCTGATCCACCTGCCATCCGAAAATTAGGATCCACCTGCCATCTGGCTTTCAGGATCCACCTGCCATCTAGCTATTATGAGCCACCTGCTACCCGATCATCATGATCCACCTGCTGTCCGACCATCATGAAAACTGTTGTCTGACGAAGTGTGCAGGTGAACTTCGTCAGCCAAAAGGGGGGCTGTAGCGTCTGCGTAGGATCATGCATGAGCGTTGGACTGTTTATGGCTTAAAAGACCCCTTTAAGCCTTTTGACATTTGCATATAAATTACAGTTCTGGTCAGAGATGTTACTTGTATAGGGGTTGTAAATTGCCAAATGGTTCTTCGCCGTCAACTTTTCTTTACTTTGTTTCATTCTGTGTATATAGAAGTGTTTTGCTTAGTTAGATGTTAGATATAGTTTCATTTATTAAATCCCTTATATTCACAACGGATTGTCTCTGTTTGCTGCTCACAATTCGAAGTCAATGAATGTGTGAACCCTTGCTACATTTTGCTAAATTACTGCTAGCACTGCACAAAGAAGGACAGTTTATTCTTCCCTGGCCCGGAAAATAATAGTTCCTTGAATTAATAAATGATTATATTGTCTGCTCGGTGGACGGACAGATCAAATAATTGTAATATTGATTCTGCTACAGTTAATTCGAAGATATAATCTAAATATTTATTATTGGTCATAACCAGTTATAGTTAGTCATAAATATTTCCCTTTTTAGAGCTGACAACCCCTACAAATGAAAGCTTGTTGTATTCACAGAATATTGGTGTGAGTGAAAAATTGATATTCGGCATCATTTTCCGGTGATAATACTTTTATCAGAAATTATTTAAAACTTGCAGGAATACTCCCCACGAACAGCATGTGACTTGTGCATGAAAGAAAGGAACCACACAGGGCGTGGCTAAGCCCCGCAACCACTCTCTGATTGGAACAACGATCTGTGGGATGGACCAAAGTCAGCCTGGTTAAAATGGAACACAAAGCGCCCGCTCTCTCTCTCGCGCGCAAGACCTCTGGCTTTCACTTTGGTGACAGCGCTACAAGCGCTCCCATGCCGTAACATCGCACAGTGAGACTCCAGAACTCAAACACTTCAGTTGAATCTTTGCGATCTTCAAAGAACTTAAAGTCTTTCAAACTCAGACTTTTAGCAGAACTGCTCAAGCCTCTGCGTCATCAAGAGACCAACCAATCCAACGAGGGCTTCCCCAAAAGGGACGCCATCCTGACGTCATCGCAGTAACCAATCAGCAACGGAATTCCCACCACAGCCACAAGAGCTTCTCAGATTTCAGCAAAACGCAAGTACAAACAAATCTTACAGCTGCTGAAATAGGTGCGGAGCTGGTGAATTGAGTTAAGCCGTAAAGATAAGAAAATCTCTGCTTTGTGATGGTCCCAGGATTGAATTTAAAGCACTCGTGGAAACGAGTGTTAGAACCAAGAAAACTTCCTGCAACTCCGTTAACTAATTTCCTTCATTCTTTCGAACTGTATATGTGTGCATGTGTGTTTTAGCTTAGTTTTAATGTAATCTAGAATAGCCAATAAAATTCGTGTTTCATTCATAAAGAAGTATTGTCTGGTGTCGTGAAATTTTGAAGTCAAACATTGCCAAGATCCTTGCTACCTAGCTCGTAGATTACTTATCAAAGAACGTACTATCCTGTGGCCAAGGAAAATACACAGTCAGATTAAGATACCCGGACAGTAACGGCTCGCTGGACGACCGTTGATAAGGTGTAAACTATTGAAATCAGTTCTAATCAGGTGGACATCGAATTTTCAGATTCGAGTCCTTTCAAAACCTGAGCTAGAAATAATATTAATGATTAATTCCCTTATTAAATTTAAATGGAGTTAAATTCCTTACACGGATGTACTGTTACTTCCTCTACAGTCAAAAATCTGGGTGTTATATTAGATAGCAACTTGTCTTTTGAAAATCATATTTCCCATGTTACAAAAACAGCATTCTTCCATCTTAGAAACATTGCCAAGCTACGAAACGTTACCTGTTTCTGATGCAGAAAAGCTAGTTCATGCATTCATGACCTCTAGACTGGACTATTGTAATGCACTGCTAGGTGGTTGTCCTGCATCTTCAATAAACAAGCTACAGGTAGTCCAAAATGCAGCAGCTGGAGTCCTTACCAGGTCAAGAAAATGTGATCATATTTATGCAAATATCTAGATGTTAAGTATATAAGGTATATAAGTTGGTAAAACAATAAATAAAAAGTTTTAATAAAGAGTATATATATGGTTCCTTTTATTGGAGGCTCAAAATAAATCCTAATAGAACATAATAAAGAGGTATTTGTACATATACTTATATTATAACCTATTAATTAATATGGAAGGGCTACATTATCGTTGTAAGAGAAAATAAGTTAATTCTTTATGTATTCTTTAACACATTTTTAATGCTCCTCTGCCTGGAGCAAGGGGATCGCTCCCTCGAGGACCACACCAGGAACTATCTAAATCTCGCCTACCTTACGGATTACATGGACAGCTGCCTTTACACCTTTTATTTTGTCTGACTTAACACCTCGACTAAGGCAAAGCTGTCGGGAATGGTCCTCGATGGAGTTTTGTCGCTTTCGTGGAGTGGGTGCTAGAGAAAAATACACTGTATTTCTCCATCTGCCCCGCTGAGGAGGACATCTCCAGCCCCACTCCCGAACCAGAGACCAGCCAGCCGTCATCCCACTGCACGGAGCAATTGCCTGAGCCCACCTCAGTTGGAGAGCCTGAGCCTGCCGCAACACGAGAACCCACGACTGAGCTGATCATCTCCCCGGAGCCTGAGCCTCAAGACTCGTCTGACCAGGTGCGTGAGCCGGCTACATCGTCCGTCCCCGAGGGAGTACTGGTGGAGATTGAGGGCTTGGAGAGAAGCCCTGCCCAACTCCCGCCGCTGAGAGTGAGCTGAAACTGGCCACTGGACAATACTTTGAGGAACTTAGGGGCATTTTTCAAAAGGATTTAATTAATTGGGCTGGGGAGATAATTTCCTATGTTCCTGCATCTCCTACATTTCCTGAGTCTTCGTTGGTTCCATCCAGCTTTGAATCTCCTGTGTCTCCCGAGTCTCCGCTGGTTCTGTCCAGCTCTCCTCCGTCTCCCGAGCTCCGTGTGACTTTTAAGTTCCCACCCAGCCTCCCTCTGCTGCCTTCACTTATGCCAGCCTTATGCAAGCCTGTTCCTCAGTCCTGAGGATGCACCTTCCGGGAGGACTGAGGTGCATCCTCAGAACAGAAAGCAAACTGTTACGGTTATGGACTTTTAGCTGTGTTTTCCCTGTTCCTGTTCTCCTGCCTTGTTTTGTTCCTTTGACCTAGTTTTCCTTAGTTGCCCTGATTATGGCATTCTGTTCACCTGTGTTCATTTAATAATGTCATTAGTCTCTCGTTTGCTTTTGTATTTATACTCCCTGTTCTGTTCTAGCCCTTGGCCGGTTATTGTTTGTTGTTGTGTTATGCTACCCCCCGTTCCTGGATTCTGTGTGAAGTTTATTAAAAGACTATTTTGGTTTACCCCGAATTTAGCACAGCTCCGTTACAATTAGAAGTAATAGGCTATATAAAATTATGGTTTACAAGGAGCTATGGGTAGCTCCCCCCAGTCTTTTCACGAACACAAGGATTCTCTGATGAATGGCGACTTATTGACTGGTTCACAATGAGTATAACCAACCAACTCAAGATGCTGTGAGAACTAAATGCACAAAAATAAAGTAAAAACTAAGAATATAAAAAACAAATATATAAAATAAATAAATATTGTCTTTGTAAATGTAGTGAAGCA